ATAAGCCGCACCAGCAATTTTTTAAGATAAAGTACATTTTGTCCACATATAGGCCACACTTGAATAAAAGCCACAGGTTTTCATGCTGTAATGTAGCAGCTATGTCCATAAACTATGCTTTGACAAAATACATATAAATATTACAAAATATATATATTATCCACATCGCTATGTAAGCCTCAGGGTTCAAAGAGTTTGGAATTTCTCTTGTGCTATCCTTGAGTCAAAAGGACCCGCCACCGTGATTAAAAGTAGAAGGAAAATCGCCTAAACTTGGGTCTAAAAGGGTTCAAATGATCCGAGGCTTATTTAAAATCATCGGCCAATTTGACCGCAGGATATGACGAGGGGCCGACAGTCTGGACTAAACTATTTTTTATGTAAGCAGCTAAAATCTGGAACAATCTGTGCTGTGATTATTTATAATTCTTTCTTTTCTTGTTTTGTTCAACACTTTGAGTCGCCTTGTGTATGGGATGTGCTATACAGATAAACTGGTTCTGCCGCATCAGAAAGAAATCCAGTGCCTTTGGCTGCTGCAGGTGGATACATTACACATACTGCCAACTAGGGCTGGGCGATAAAACGATAACGATATATATCGCGATAGACATGTGTTCGATATCAATAGAGAATGGGGTCGATAGAATGTTCGATAGTTTAACTTAACTCCGTCAGGAAAAACAGGAAGAAAACACCGGAAGTAAAGCCGACTCATAAGCGCATGGCATTGTGGGGGATGTAGGCAGAGGCTTCTCGACCAATAACAGCCGAGCAGGAACCGCAAAACTTTGTGGGAAATGCAAAAACAACAACAACCGCACCATGCGTAGCGTCCATGGATCTATAGCTCGTGTTTCAATGCCGTGTCAATGGTTATGCACGTACGTGCGCGGAATAACATGTGCGGCGGCAGAGGCAGTGGACAGACACCATGTATTCGGCAAAAGCAAGAGATTAACTTTTTCCTCGGGAAGCATGTGCGGCACAGAGCCGCACGGAGCGGCCACGGGGACACAAGACCCTCAAACAGCTAAACCAGGAGCTAAACCAGGAATAAAAAACCAGGATTAAACCAGGACTAACAACGAGGGACACAGTGTGAACATATTTCTCCAGCCTCATCGCCCCGTGACTGTAAACAAGGCTGCTAAGGTTGGTTAGCCCACACAACAAATATATTTATTTAGGTAAAAAAAAAAAACTCAATATATATCGTTATCGACCGATATGAATGACTTATATCGTGATATAGTTTTCAGCCATATCGCCCAGCCCTACTGCCAACAGATATTACCACATGTTTCTTCCATACCTCTGGGTGCAATCACAGCTCAGTAGCGTAACACGGCTGATTAAGATTACTGTACACACAAGGAAACACAGGATACACAAGAAGTAATCGTTTGTGGTTGAAAATATGACACTCCTCATGTTTGGAATTTTCCGTCACAGAGGAATTGAATTTTAAAGTTCCACCACCAAATACATTGTGTCTATATGCTAGTGTAGTGTTTTAAAAACGGATGCTTATACATAATGTTTTAAATGAGACAAAGCTGTGTATTGTAATGTTTATGGAGTAGCAGTTGTAGTAAAAAAAAACGACAAATTCATGTACATTATGAAATTAATATCTTGAAGTTAAACATTACAATGTACAGTAAGTAGCAGTAGCAGTAGTAGTTGTAGTAGTAGATGCAGTTGTAGTAATAGCCATTGTAGTACTAGCTTTAGTAGCAGCAGCAGCAGCAGTAGTAATAGCAGTGATAGTGGCAGTAGCAGTTATTGCAGTAGCAGTAGTTGCAGTATTAGTCGCAGTAGCAGTAGTTGGAGTATTAGTCGCAGTAGCAGTAGTTGCAGTATTAGTCGCAGTAGCAGTAGTTGGAGTATTAGTCGCAGTAGCAGTAGTTGCAGTATTAGTCGCAGTAGCAGTAGTTGCAGTATTAGTCGCAGTAGCAGTAGTTGCAGTATTAGTCGCAGTAGCAGTTATTGCAGTAGCAGTAGCAGTAGTTGCAGTATTAGTCGCAGTAGCAGTTATTGCAGTAGCAGTAGCAGTAGTTGCAGTATTAGTCGCAGTAGCAGTTATTGCAGTAGCAGTAGTTGCAGTATTAGTCGCAGTAGCAGTAGTTGCAGTATTAGTCGCAGTAGCAGTAGTTGCAGTATTAGTCGCAGTAGCAGTAGTTGCAGTATTAGTCGCAGTAGCAGTAGTTGCAGTATTAGTCGCAGTAGCAGTAGTTGCAGTATTAGTCGCAGTAGTTGGAGTATTAGTCGCAGTAGCTGCAGTATTAGTAGCAGTAGTTGCAGTATTAGTCGCAGTAGCAGTAGTTGCAGTATTAGTCGCAGTAGCAGTAGTTGCAGTATTCGTCGCAGTAGCAGTAGTTGCAGTATTAGTCGCAGTAGCAGTAGTTGCAGTATTAGTCGCAGTAGCAGTAGTTGCAGTATTAGTCGCAGTAGCAGTAGTTGGAGTATTAGTCGCAGTAGCAGTAGTTGCAGTATTAGTCGCAGTAGCAGTAGTTGCAGTATTAGTCGCAGTAGCAGTAGTTGCAGTATTAGTCGCAGTAGCAGTAGTTGCAGTATTAGTCGCAGTAGCAGTAGTTGCAGTATTAGTCGCAGTAGCAGTAGTTGCAGTATTAGTCGCAGTAGCAGTAGTTGCAGTATTAGTCGCAGTAGCAGTTATTGCAGTAGCAGTAGCAGTAGTTGCAGTATTAGTCGCAGTAGCAGTTATTGCAGTAGCAGTAGCAGTAGTTGCAGTATTAGTCGCAGTAGCAGTTATTGCAGTAGCAGTAGCAGTAGTTGCAGTATTAGTCGCAGTAGCAGTTATTGCAGTAGCAGTAGTTGCAGTATTAGTCGCAGTAGCAGTAGTTGCAGTATTAGTCGCAGTAGCAGTATTTGCAGTATTAGTCGCAGTAGCAGTAGTTGCAGTATTAGTCGCAGTAGCAGTAGTTGCAGTATTAGTCGCAGTAGCAGTAGTTGCAGTATTAGACGCAGTAGTTGGAGTATTAGTCGCAGTAGCTGCAGTATTAGTAGCAGTAGTTGCAGTATTAGTCGCAGTAGCAGTAGTTGCAGTATTAGTCGCAGTAGCAGTAGTTGCAGTATTCGTCGCAGTAGCAGTAGTTGCAGTATTAGTCGCAGTAGCAGTAGTTGCAGTATTAGTCGCAGTAGCAGTAGTTGCAGTATTAGTCGCAGTAGCAGTAGTTGGAGTATTAGTCGCAGTAGCAGTAGTTGCAGTATTAGTCGCAGTAGCAGTAGTTGCAGTATTAGTCGCAGTAGCAGTAGTTGCAGTATTAGTCGCAGTAGCAGTAGTTGCAGTATTAGTCGCAGTAGCAGTAGTTGGAGTATTAGTCGCAGTAGCAGTAGTTGCAGTATTAGTCGCAGTAGCAGTAGTTGCAGTATTAGTCGCAGTAGCAGTAGTTGCAGTATTAGTCGCAGTAGCAGTAGTTGCAGTATTAGTCGCAGTAGCAGTAGTTTCAGTATTAGTCGCAGTAGCAGTAGTTGCAGTATTAGTCGCAGTAGCAGTAGTTGCAGTATTAGTCGCGTAGCAGTATTAGTCGCAGTAGCAGTAGTTGCAGTATTAGTCGCAGTAGCAGTAGTTGCAGTATTAGTCGCAGTAGCAGTAGTTGCAGTATTAGTCGCAGTAGCAGTAGTTGCAGTATTAGTCGCAGTAGCAGTAGTTGCAGTATTAGTCGCAGTAGCAGTAGTTGCAGTATTAGTCGCAGTAGCAGTAGTTGCAGTATTAGTCGCAGTAGCAGTAGTTGCAGTATTAGTCGCAGTAGCAGTCGTTGCAGTATTAGTCGCAGTATTAGTCGCAGTAGCAGTAGTTGCAGTATTAGTCGCAGTAGCAGTAGTTGCAGTATTAGTCGCAGTATTAGTCGCAGTAGCAGTAGTTGCAGTATTAGTCGCAGTAGCAGTAGCAGTAGCAGTAGCAGTAATAGCAGTAGCAGTAATAGCAGTAGCAGTAATAGCAGTAGCAGTAATAGCAGTAGCAGTAATAGCAGTAGCAGTAATAGCAGTAGCAGTAATAGCAGTAGCAGTAGCAGTAGTAGCAGTAGCAGTAGCAGTAGCAGTAATAGCAGTAGCAGTAATAGCAGTATTAGTCGCAGTATTAGTCGCAGTAGCAGTAGTTGCAGTATTAGTCGCAGTAGCAGTAGTTGCAGTATTAGTCGCAGTAGCAGTAGTTGCAGTATTAGTCGCAGTATTAGTCGCAGTAGCAGTAGTTGCAGTATTAGTCGCAGTAGCAGTAGCAGTAGCAGTAGCAGTAGCAGTAATAGCAGTAGCAGTAATAGCAGTAGCAGTAATAGCAGTAGCAGTAATAGCAGTAGCAGTAATAGCAGTAGCAGTAGCAGTAGCAGTAATAGCAGTAGCAGTAGCAGTAGCAGTAATAGCAGTAGCAGTAATAGCAGTAGCAGTAATAGCAGTAGCAGTAATAGCAGTAGCATGTGACATTTCTCTTCTAAAAAGCGTGGAGTAAAGACGTGACAGACTAGAGAATAAACCACTTTTTGTCTCCGCCGCTCTGTCCTCGGGAGAAAGCAAGAAATACACACTACATTTTATTCTACACAATCAAACAATCTAACTTGTTTTACTAATACTCAATACGTACTTTTACCAGTATCTGTGCAATAGTGGAGAGGTTTTTCTAAATGTTGTGGCTGTCGAAGAGTCACTATGGCAACAATAACCTTAACCCTGACAAAAAAATCATTGCCATTTTCCTCCTTACAAGACAAGACAAACATCAATTGGATTTTTGGCACATTTTTTGTCACAGTAATTGTCGAGGGTTGTTTTGAAGGTCTCTAAAATAATCCTTCAGTGAATCAAAATTTGGGGCAAACGGCGTTGGCCACAGAAAAACCCATTTTGGTCGATCTGTAATCTTCAATGCACTGTACATTTTCAAAGCTTCTTCTCGTTCGGCCCACGGTGAGGATCTGGCAACAGAAGGACACATTATGCAGGCGCCTATCTCCGTGTGCAACCAGAATTGTTTTGCGATGTCCTTTGATCAGCAGGACTTTTTGATCGGTTCTGAAGTGGCCCATGTGGTCAGAGAAAGGAATCAGACGATGCTCGCTTCAGCGCTAAAATATCAGCTTCTGCAGACTTTGGTGAAAAAGAGAGGACCCTGCTCAGCCAATCAGCTCTCAGTCATAAAGAATATAGCATATTCAGATTCAGATTCATTAATTTGCCATTTGCAGTAAAACCACATTGGAAAAACTGTGCAAGACTACCCCAGAGTGCACCAGACAGAGAGGACGGCACACACCAGAGCTGCACGGCGCCATGCAAATGTCGTCATGCATATGTTCTAATGTGATAAAGACGTCGTGTTGTGGTCTAATGTGTCTTGAAACTTTGTCAAGACTCTTTCTGTGTGCGACAGACAGCTAAATTATTTATATATAATAAAAAGTTGCTATCCCAGATTTAAGGCACAACATTCTAAAACAACATTTGACTTGGAGAAATGGCCAACGCTCTATTGGAGGCAATGCTTTGGCTCGGGGCGACTGTGGCTCAGTTGGTAGAGCATTGGCCTTTGAGCCTGAAGGTTGTGGGTTCGAGTCCACTACAAGACCTTCTCCATCGACTCCCACTGATGTCTGCTGTCGTTGTGTCCTTGGGCAAAACATGTAATCCCACTTTGCCAGAAGCCCCTGCTGACAGATCAAGGCTGTGTCTCTGACAGAGCAGCCCCCTCCTGTGGATCAGAGAGGGGCTGTGTCTCTGACAGAGCAGCCCCCTCCCGTGGATCAGAGAGGGGCTGTGTCTCTGACAGAGCAGCCCCCTCCCGTGGATCAGAGAGGGGCTGTGTCTCTGACAGAGCAGCCCCCTCCCGTGGATCAGAGAGGGGCTGGGTCTCTGACAGAGCAGCCCCCTCCCGTGGATCAGAGAGGGGCTGTGTCTCTGACAGAGCAGCCCCCTCCCGTGGATCAGAGAGGGGCTGTGTCTCTGACAGAGCAGCCCCCTCCCGTGGATCAGAGAGGGGCTGTGTCTCTGACAGAGCAGCCCCCTCCCGTGGATCAGAGAGGGGCTGTGTCTCTGACAGAGCAGCCCCCTCCCGTGGATCAGAGAGGGGCTGGGTCTCTGACAGAGCAGCCCCCTCCCGTGGATCAGAGAGGGGCTGGGTCTCTGACAGAGCAGCCCCCTCCCGTGGATCAGAGAGGGGCTGGGTCTCTGACAGAGCAGCCCCCTCCCGTGGATCAGAGAGGGGCTGGGTCTCTGACAGAGCAGCCCCCTCCCGTGGATCAGAGAGGGGCTGTGTCTCTGACAGAGCAGCCCCCTCCCGTGGATCAGAGAGGGGCTGGGTCTCTGACAGAGCAGCCCCCTCCCGTGGATCAGAGAGGGGCTGTGTCTCTGACAGAGCAGCCCCCTCCCGTGGATCAGAGAGGGGCTGGGTCTCTGACAGAGCAGCCCCCTCCCGTGGATCAGAGAGGGGCTGTGTCTCTGACAGAGCAGCCCCCTCCCGTGGATCAGAGAGGGGCTGTGTCTCTGACAGAGCAGCCCCCTCCCGTGGATCAGAGAGGGGCTGTGTCTCTGACAGAGCAGCCCCCTCCCGTGGATCAGAGAGGGGCTGTGTCTCTGACAGAGCAGCCCCCTCCTGTGGATCAGAGAGGGGCTGTGTCTCTGACAGAGCAGCCCCCTCCTGTGGATCAGAGAGGGGCTGTGTCTCTGACAGAGCAGCCCCCTCCCGTGGATCAGAGAGGGGCTGGGTCTCTGACAGAGCAGCCCCCTCCCGTGGATCAGAGAGGGGCTGTGTCTCTGACAGAGCAGCCCCCTCCCGTGGATCAGAGAGGGGCTGGGTCTCTGACAGAGCAGCCCCCTCCCGTGGATCAGAGAGGGGCTGTGTCTCTGACAGAGCAGCCCCCTCCCGTGGATCAGAGAGGGGCTGGGTCTCTGACAGAGCAGCCCCCTCCCGTGGATCAGAGAGGGGCTGTGTCTCTGACAGAGCAGCCCCCTCCCGTGGATCAGAGAGGGGCTGTGTCTCTGACAGAGCAGCCCCCTCCCGTGGATCAGAGAGGGGCTGTGTCTCTGACAGAGCAGCCCCCTCCTGTGGATCAGAGAGGGGCTGTGTCTCTGACAGAGCAGCCCCCTCCTGTGGATCAGAGAGGGGCTGTGTCTCTGACAGAGCAGCCCCCTCCTGTGGATCAGAGAGGGGCTGTGTCTCTGACAGAGCAGCCCCCTCCCGTGGATCAGAGAGGGGCTGGGTCTCTGACTGTTTAAATTGATTTCTTTGTTTGTTTGCACCCTAGGACCTGCCAGGGGCACTTCTCTGACGATCTTTCCATGTGTGTTGATTATAAACCCCTGGGACCTCAAGTACTGGTGTTAGCATAAGGTACTGGTGTTAGCATAAGGTACTGGTGTTAGCATAAGGTACTGGTGTTAGCATAAGGTACTGGTGGTAGCATTAGGTACTGGTGTTAGCATTAGGTACTGGTGTTAGCATAAGGTACTGGTGTTAGCATAAGGTACTGGTGTTAGCATAAGGTACTGGTGTTAGCATTAGGTACTGGTGTTAGCATTAGGTACTGGTGTTAGCATTAGGTACTGGTGTTAGCATTAGGTACTGGTGTTAGCATTAGGTACTGGTGTTAGCATTAGGTACTGGTGTTAGCATTAGGTACTGGTGTTAGCATAAGGTACTGGTGTTAGCATTAGGTACTGGTGGTAGCATAAGGTACTGGTGTTAGCATTAGGTACTGGTGTTAGCATAAGGTACTGGTGTTAGCATTAGGTACTGGTGTTAGCATAAGGTACTGGTGTTAGCATAAGGTACTGGTGTTAGCATAAGGTACTGGTGTTAGCATAAGGTACTGGTGTTAGCATAAGGTACTGGTGTTAGCATAAGGTACTGGTGTTAGCATAAGGTACTGGTGTTAGCATTAGGTACTGGTGTTAGCATTAGGTACTGGTGTTAGCATAAGGTACTGGTGTTAGCATAAGGTACTGGTGTTAGCATAAGGTACTGGTGTTAGCATAAGGTACTGGTGTTAGCATTAGGTACTGGTGTTAGCATAAGGTACTGGTGTTAGCATAAGGTACTGGTGGTAGCATTAGGTACTGGTGTTAGCATTAGGTACTGGTGGTAGCATTAGGTACTGGTGTTAGCATAAGGTACTGGTGTTAGCATAAGGTACTGGTGTTAGCATAAGGTACTGGTGTTAGCATAAGGTACTGGTGTTAGCATAAGGTACTGGTGTTAGCATTAGGTACTGGTGTTAGCATAAGGTACTGGTGTTAGCATAAGGTACTGGTGGTAGCATTAGGTACTGGTGTTAGCATTAGGTACTGGTGTTAGCATAAGGTACTGGTGTTAGCATAAGGTACTGGTGTTAGCATAAGGTACTGGTGTTAGCATAAGGTACTGGTGTTAGCATTAGGTACTGGTGTTAGCATTAGGTACTGGTGTTAGCATAAGGTACTGGTGTTAGCATTAGGTACTGGTGTTAGCATAAGGTACTGGTGGTAGCATTAGGTACTGGTGGTAGCATTAGGTACTGGTGTTAGCATTAGGTACTGGTGTTAGCATAGGTGGTGTAGCATTAGGTACTGGTGTTAGCATTAGGTACTGGTGTTAGCATTAGGTACTGGTGTTAGCATTAGGTACTGGTGTTAGCATTAGGTACTGGTGTTAGCATTAGGTACTGGTGTTAGCATAAGGTACTGGTGTTAGCATTAGGTACTGGTGTTAGCATTAGGTACTGGTGTTAGCATTAGGTACTGGTGTTAGCATTAGGTACTGGTGTTAGCATAAGGTACTGGTGTTAGCATAAGGTACTGGTGTTAGCATAAGGTACTGGTGTTAGCATAAGGTACTGGTGTTAGCATAAGGTACTGGTGTTAGCATAGGTACTGGTGTTAGCATTAGGTACGGTGTAGCATGGTACTGGTGTTAGCATTAGGTACTGGTGTTAGCATTAGGTACTGGTGTTAGCATTAGGTACTGGTGTTAGCATTAGGTACTGGTGTTAGCATTAGGTACTGGTGTTAGCATTAGGTACTGGTGTTAGCATTAGGTACTGGTGTTAGCATTAGGTACTGGTGTTAGCATTAGGTACTGGTGTTAGCATTAGGTACTGGTGTTAGCATTAGGTACTGGTGTTAGCATAAGGTACTGGTGTTAGCATAAGGTACTGGTGTTAGCATTAGGTACTGGTGTTAGCATTAGGTACTGGTGTTAGCATTAGGTACTGGTGTTAGCATTAGGTACTGGTGATAGCATAAGGTACTGGTGTTAGCATTAGGTACTGGTGGTAGCATTAGGTACTGGTGTTAGCATAAGGTACTGGTGTTAGCATAAGGTACTGGTGTTAGCATTAGGTACTGGTGTTAGCATAAGGTACTGGTGTTAGCATAAGGTACTGGTGTTAGCATTAGGTACTGGTGTTAGCATTAGGTACTGGTGTTAGCATAAGGTACTGGTGTTAGCATAAGGTACTGGTGTTAGCATTAGGTACTGGTGTTAGCATTAGGTACTGGTGTTAGCATAAGGTACTGGTGTTAGCATTAGGTACTGGTGTTAGCATTAGGTACTGGTGTTAGCATAAGGTACTGGTGTTAGCATTAGGTACTGGTGTTAGCATTAGGTACTGGTGTTAGCATAAGGTACTGGTGTTAGCATTAGGTACTGGTGTTAGCATTAGGTACTGGTGTTAGCATAAGGTACTGGGTAGCATAGGTACTGGTGTAGCATTAGGTACTGGTGTTAGCATTAGGTACTGGTGTTAGCATTAGGTACTGGTGTTAGCATTAGGTACTGGTGTTAGCATTAGGTACTGGTGTTAGCATTAGGTACTGGTGTTAGCATTAGGTACTGGTGTTAGCATTAGGTACTGGTGTTAGCATTAGGTACTGGTGTTAGCATTAGGTACTGGTGTTAGCATTAGGTACTGGTGTTAGCATTAGGTACTGGTGTTAGCATTAGGTACTGGTGTTAGCATTAGGTACTGGTGTTAGCATTAGGTACTGGTGTTAGCATTAGGTACTGGTGTTAGCATTAGGTACTGGTGTTAGCATTAGGTACTGGTGTTAGCATTAGGTACTGGTGTTAGCATAAGGTACTGGTGTTAGCATTAGGTACTGGTGTTAGCATTAGGTACTGGTGTTAGCATAAGGTACTGGTGTTAGCATTAGGTAGGTGTAGCATAGTACTGGTGTTAGCATTAGGTACTGGTGTTAGCATTAGGTACTGGTGTTAGCATTAGGTACTGGTGTTAGCATTAGGTACTGGTGTTAGCATTAGGTACTGGTGTTAGCATTAGGTACTGGTGTTAGCATTAGGTACTGGTGTTAGCATTAGGTACTGGTGTTAGCATTAGGTACTGGTGTTAGCATTAGGTACTGGTGTTAGCATTAGGTACTGGTGTTAGCATTAGGTACTGGTGTTAGCATTAGGTACTGGTGTTAGCATTAGGTACTGGTGTTAGCATTAGGTACTGGTGTTAGCATAGGTACTGGTGTTAGCATTAGGTACTGGTGTTAGCATTAGGTACTGGTGTTAGCATTAGGTACTGGTGTTAGCATTAGGTACTGGTGTTAGCATTAGGTACTGGTGTTAGCATTAGGTACTGGTGTTAGCATTAGGTACTGGTGTTAGCATTAGGTACTGGTGTTAGCATAAGGTACTGGTGTTAGCATTAGGTACTGGTGTTAGCATTAGGTACTGGTGTTAGCATTAGGTACTGGTGTTAGCATTAGGTACTGGTGTTAGCATTAGGTACTGGTGTTAGCATTAGGTACTGGTGTTAGCATTAGGTACTGGTGTTAGCATTAGGTACTGGTGTTAGCATTAGGTACTGGTGTTAGCATTAGGTACTGGTGTTAGCATAAGGTACTGGTGTTAGCATTAGGTACTGGTGTTAGCATTAGGTACTGGTGTTAGCATTAGGTACTGGTGTTAGCATTAGGTACTGGTGTTAGCATAAGGTACTGGTGTTAGCATAGGTACTGGTGTTAGCATTAGGTACTGGTGTTAGCATAGGTACTGGTGTTAGCATAGGTACTGGTGTTAGCATTAGGTACTGGTGTTAGCATAAGGTACTGGTGTTAGCATTAGGTACTGGTGTTAGCATTAGGTACTGGTGTTAGCATTAGGTACTGGTGTTAGCATTAGGTACTGGTGTTAGCATTAGGTACTGGTGTTAGCATTAGGTACTGGTGTTAGCATTAGGTACTGGTGTTAGCATTAGGTACTGGTGTTAGCATTAGGTACTGGTGTTAGCATTAGGTACTGGTGTTAGCATTAGGTACTGGTGTTAGCATTAGGTACTGGTGTTAGCATTAGGTACTGGTGTTAGCATTAGGTACTGGTGTTAGCATTAGGTACTGGTGTTAGCATTAGGTACTGGTGTTAGCATTAGGTACTGGTGTTAGCATTAGGTACTGGTGTTAGCATTAGGTACTGGTGTTAGCATTAGGTACTGGTGTTAGCATTAGGTACTGGTGTTAGCATAAGGTACTGGTGTTAGCATTAGGTACTGGTGTTAGCATTAGGTACTGGTGTTAGCATTAGGTACTGGTGTTAGCATAAGGTACTGGTGTTAGCATTAGGTACTGGTGTTAGCATTAGGTACTGGTGTTAGCATTAGGTACTGGTGTTAGCATTAGGTACTGGTGTTAGCATTAGGTACTGGTGTTAGCATTAGGTACTGGTGTTAGCATTAGGTACTGGTGTTAGCATTAGGTACTGGTGTTAGCATTAGGTACTGGTGGTGTAGCATTAGGTACTGGTGTTAGCATTAGGTACTGGTGTTAGCATTAGGTACTGGTGTTAGCATTAGGTACTGGTGTTAGCATTAGGTACTGGTGTTAGCATTAGGTACTGGTGTTAGCATTAGGTACTGGTGTTAGCATTAGGTACTGGTGTTAGCATTAGGTACTGGTGTTAGCATTAGGTACTGGTGTTAGCATTAGGTACTGGTGTTAGCATTAGGTACTGGTGTTAGCATTAGGTACTGGTGTTAGCATTAGGTACTGGTGTTAGCATAAGGTACTGGTGTTAGCATTAGGTACTGGTGTTAGCATTAGGTACTGGTGTTAGCATTAGGTACTGGTGTTAGCATTAGGTACTGGTGTTAGCATTAGGTACTGGTGTTAGCATTAGGTACTGGTGTTAGCATTAGGTACTGGTGTTAGCATTAGGTACTGGTGTTAGCATTAGGTACTGGTGTTAGCATTAGGTACTGGTGTTAGCATTAGGTACTGGTGTTAGCATAAGGTAC